CATAAATATAAGTGAATATCAGAATCATCTGGCTAGATGACATAATTCTATATTTAGAAGACCCCCCAAATAAAACTGTACTAGGAAACTTCTAGAACTCAAAATGAATTTACCAGGGTAGCAGGGTATAAAATTAAAACCCATAAATCAATAGCATTTCTATACATCAGTGATGAATCAACCTAACAAAATAGGTGAAAGACCTATATAATAAAACTACAGAACACTAAAGAAAGGAATTAAAGAAGGCCTTAGAAGATGGAAAGATCTCTGATGTTCTTGGATAGGCAGAATTAATATTGTCAAAATGGCCATACTACCAAAAGCACTACTCAGACTTATTGAAATTTCTATTAAGTTCCCAATGGTGTTCTTCATAGAAACAGAAAAGGCAGTCATGAAATTCATTTGGAAAAATATGAGGAATAGCCAAAGGAATAAGAGGATAGCCAAAGAATAAGAGGAATAGCCAAAGAATAGCCAAAGCAATCCTTAGTGAGAAAAGTGAAGCAGGAGGCATCATAATACCAGACCTTAAGTTGTACTACAGAACCATAGTAACAAAAATAGCATGGTACTGACACCAAAACAGACATGAAGATCAATGGTGTAGAATAGAAGACACAGAGACAAACCCACATAAATACACTTATCTCATACTGGACAAAGGCACCATAATTATACATTGGAGAAAAGATAGACTCTTTAACAAATGGTGCTGGGAAAACTAGAAATCCATATGTAGCAGAATGAATTGAAAAAAAGTAGGCTCCGCTCTCTATCATGTTGGCTTAAGAACCAAATTTCTCAAAAAGACTCCTAAAACACAAGAAGTAAAATCAAGAATCAACAAATGGGATGGTATTAAACTAAAAAGCTTCTTCACAGCAAAGGAAACAAAAACATGAAGAGAGAGCCTACAGAATGGGAGAATATCTTTGCCACCTGCACCTCAAATAGAACATTAATCTCCAGAACACATAAAGAACTCAAAAACTGGGGCTGGGGTTGTGGCTCAGAGGTAGAGCGCTTGCCTGGCAAGTGTGAGGCACTGGGTTTGATCCTCAGCACCACATAAATATAAAATAAAGATATTGTGTTCACCTATAACTAAAAAATAAATATTAAAAAAAGAACTCAAAAAGTGGCTACCAAAATAATAATAATAACAACAACAACAACCACCACCACCACCCAATCAATAAATGGGCAAATGAACTGAACAGACACTTCACAGAAGAAGAAATATGACTGGTCAATAAATATATGAAAAATGTTCAACATCTCAAGCAATTAGAAATGCAAATTAAACTACAATGAGATTTCATCTCACTTCAGTAAGAATGGCAATTATCAAGAATACAGGTAACAATAAATGTTGGGCAAGGATATGGGGATAAAAGGTACACTCATACATTGCTGGTGGGACTGCAAATTGGTGCAACCACTCTGGAAAGTAGTATGGAGATTCCTCAGAAAACTTTGAATGGAACCACCATTTGACCCAGTTATCCCACTTGTTGGTATATACCCAAATAACTCATAATCAGCATACTATAATGACTCAGCCACATCAGTGTGCATGGAACCAACCTAGGTGCCCTTCAACAGATAACTGGATAAAGAAAATGAGGTACATGTACAATGGAATATTTCTTGGCCATAAAGAAGAATGAAATTATGGCATTTGCTAGTAAATGGATGGAACTAGAGACTATCATGCTAAGTGAAATAAGCGAATTCCAAAAAACCAAAGGCTGAATGTTCTTTCTGATATGCAGATGCTAACATACTATAAGCCAGAGGAAGAAAGGGAAGAATAGAAGTTCACTGGATTAGACAAAGGGGAATGAAGGGAAGTGACGGGGGATGGGAATAGGAAAAACAGTAGAATGAATGCGACATTACTTTCCTATGTTCACATATAAATACATGACCAGTGAAACTGAAGCAGACCAGGTACTCCCACCCCAAATCCATTCCCCACCATAATTAAGCTTCTCTTCGTGGCAGAAAGATTTTTACAAAGAGTGTCAACAGGATTTCATAGAAGTTCTGCAGAGAGCTCAATGTGGTTTGAAGCTTCATCTTTCTTTTAAATGCTAGTTTTGCAGACAAATGTGTAAAACCTCTGTCTAGCCTAAGAATATGGGACAAAGAGTAAGGTTCCCACCCACTATCATGTAAACATGCCACTGAGTATAAATCTAAAAGAATTTCTAGACTTTGGGTCCAGAGAGTTTTTAGGCCTCAGCTCCTCTGGACTGCTGCAGATTAATAAACCTGCTTCCTAATGGGTGTCCAGCATCTTATGTCCTACATCAAATCTATATCATTTATATCCACATGAATGGGAAGTTATATTCTATGTATGTATAATATGTCAAAATACACTCTACTGTCATGTGAATCTAAAAAGAACAACAACAACAAAAAAGAATTATCTGGCCAGCTTGTTAAAACATAGCTGGGCCCCATTCCAAGAGTTTCTATTCAGTAGGACTGAAATGGGTTCTCCGAATTAGCATTTCTAACAACTTCTCAATTGATGTTGATGCTGCTGGTCCAGTGACCATACTTTGAGAACCACTTACCAAGACAAATGATAGCTCTTCACACCACGCCTACCAATTTTCAAACACTGTACCTCTCAAAGAAGGGACCAGCTCATGAATGCCCATAATCACTTATAACCAAGCAAAATCTGGATTCCCAGGACTACCTAAAATATCTAAGATCAGTAGCTCCAAAATCAAAGAAAAAAAAGTATAATAAGGAAGGGAGAACTCTCCTTCTAGGGGCTTTTCTTCCTTTCTGCTTCTTTGTTTTATCACAAGAAATCATCTCTATTTCTCAATACAAGTGTTATGGAAAAGAAAAACACTCATTTAGATTTTTCATTCATTTTTACTTCAATAAAATTATAGTTTTTATTCCAAATTAGGTTCTCATGACCTTTTCCTCCCCTTTTTTGTTGGACTATCTCGTCTCTGAACAAATAGAATCATAGGGTTGAAGGAACATTGAGAATTCACTTAATCCCTCCTTGGCCTCAGACAAGACTGTGTCTAAACCATCCCCAAATATAGCAATTTCAGCAAAAGAAGAACAGGCACAGAGAATTCCCCATTCAACATTCTGTCACATACTTGAAGATACGAACATGCTTTCCTTCAGCCTTCTCTTCTCTTAGTTGAAAAACCTTAATTTTAAACCTTCCTTATTCAATTTCCTGAACTTTAAATTATTTGGACTCTAATTAGTTTGTCTCACTTTGCCTCAGGGTCATATGTATGCATATTGTACAAGTAGTTTTTGTTGGTAGGTGGAAAGGGGAAGGTTAATGTACAGATTGATTAAAAGGAATTTAATTGGAACAAAGAAATAATAAATGCCACTAAAATATAATGATATAATGCAGTGGCGGCACTCACTTGAACAAATAGTGAATTCATTGAGGATCATCAGCAGTGACATTAGTTGCAAATATCTTTTTATTTCATTAAGAGAAATGGTAATGCATTATAGTTTTTAAAACTCTACATTATAAACTTCCAGCCATTTCACACAAAAAAGTGGATTGGGAATTAGAGAACTTTTAAAATATGCTACAAATTATTCATAAGCTTGTTTCATGATATTTAACCCAGGAGAGAACATTATTATTATTCAGTTGGTTTTTAAATTTTTTTTCATGTGGTATAGTTGTATTTTTCTATTGAAATTAGAGTTGTAGTTGATGGATGATTTAATTCTTCTGTGTCTAAAAACACTGCTGAGGGTAGAGTTCAGTAGTAGAGTGCTTGCCTAGTCATGATCAAAGGCCCTGGGTTTGAATCCCAGCACTAAAAAAAAAAAAAAAAAAGTAAAAATACTGAATTTGGTATATGATAACTATTTCTCTGAAAATAATTTCTCCAAATCAAGCCTTGAAAATCAGAGGTGTTTAGAGATTCAGCAAATAAAAGACAAGACAGGATAAAGTCCATGTGAGAACATGTACTTCTGCACAGATAGGGGATATATTGAATGATTTATATATTTATATCTATTTATTCTAAAATCATGATTCAAAATGTAATTTTTGCTTTTGGAGTGGTGAGGTGCTATAGCCCGGCCTGCCCTAAGGGATAGGTTCTGTTTCCTTGCCTATTGGGATCAAGGTGTATGGTGGAGGCGATGCATTTAGTCTCCAGAGAGAAGGAAGATGCTGCTTGCACAGCACTTCTACTCACCAGTCCATGCAGCAGCAAGGGTGTTGGCTTTGAAGGAAGCCAACTGTCCTGCTCTCCCAGCCAGAGGTAAAGAATTGCATTGGTGGCCACTAGAGGGAGGAGGATTAGGAATAGAGTAAATTGTGGGGAAAAGGCACCCATGAAAAACGCACATGGGACAACCAACACATCACCAACCACTGCCTGGCAGCTACCTCTACCTCTCTAAGGGACTACCGTGAGGTCAGCATTCACCATTAACCCAGAGACCCAGACACCAGGATGACTGTAGCATCCCAGCACACAGTCCCTTAACTTGATGGCTGGAGAAGGGAGTTTTGAATAGGAAGGTGGGAAACACACAAGCATACAAACACAAGCACACAAACACACAGACATACATTCTCAGCCCCCATTACAAGAAGTTGCATCTGTGACGTCTGATTCTTACTCATTTTATTATTTAAAACTCTTGATGTTATTTACCAAGAATGTGTTCGTGAAAAGCAAACAGCCCACCTTCAAGATAGTCTTGGGAGAAGCACCAGCAGAGACACTCACTGTGCCAAGATGTATTTTACCAACAAATCTGTATAAATTGCATGAGGTTGAAAACAAATGGAGTATAATATAATTAAAACAAAGTTACTCTTGCTAAATTACAGCTTGAAGTAAACCTGCAAAAAATGTTTCCAATTAGCTTCTTCAGCAAACAAAAAGCATAGCTCAAAGTATGTTTTGCTTTGCATTCTGACGACTGGGTTGACTGCCTAGTGGGTGTCTTACCTCCAGCACAAGTAGCTGAGCATTCTGACCAAGGCTGATGATTCCACGTGAAGCCAACTTCATTATCTCCACTGCCAGTGCGAGTGATGGGAACGTTGAACTTATACCTAATTCCCAAATTTTGTTCCTGGAGCAGAACCTGCCATTGAAAACAACTGGTGAAGATAATTAAAATACAATGAGCTTTCATTCAGATATTTATTATTTCTTCTGAAGAAGAAAATGTCATAAAGTAAGTCTTATGAGAAATTTAAGGCAACTCTTCAAATACATGCATTTATATAAAAATTTTTCCATTTTCATGGTTACTTTGGAGCCATTTCTTTCTTCTGACTTGCTAGGTTATAAATATATAATTCAAGAAAGCATTGAAAAGACAAAACAGTTATATGAAAGAGCACTATGGCTTTAATTCTGCACAGATTCTATGTCCTTGGGCAAATCATTTATGTTATTTATCTTAATTTTACCACCTACCTCATAAAGGGGAATTATGAACAGTAGATATAAAAATGACATTTACCATTATAATAAGATTTTCAGAGGTGGGACCCAGAGCTTCTAAGGATTCAGGTTCATCAGTTGGTCTCTTATAGTGAAAAGCTGTCCCAGCAACATCAAACTTCCTGGGCCAGTCAATAGTCCAGGCACCATTAATATAGTAATCATCCCCTTCAGATTTTAGAGCTGGAAGAAAAATTAAAATCCATCTAAAAATGTGGAACTTCATCTACCCAAATAGCACAGATTAATTAATGCATTGAAGTACATACAGTGAATACCCATTTTCATCCAGAGAGATGATGCCTGACAAGTTCAAACAGTAATTTGTCATGTGAATGTGGAGAAGATACTACTTAAGTATTTACAATATCACTGATAGAAAAGAATAAAAGGTTTATTTGGAGAAATAACATGGAACTAGCAAAGAAAATTACAACAAAAATTAACTAGAAATGGGGGTAGAGGCAGGGAACAGATTTTCCTTTCCAAACATTAAAACAGCAATTATATGATTATGAGGTAGGAACAACCTGTGATATTGGCACACAGACTGATAGGATGAGGGCACCAGAGCTAAGAAATAGATCCAAGTACACGAAAATTTAGTATATGGTAAAGAATATACTTTAAATTGGTAAAGGAAAGATAACAAGAAATGGGGCTAAGACAAAGGACTAGGTTTTTGGGGAAAAAATTGAATCTATATCTCATTCTTTATAAATAAATAAATGTCACAATTCTACTCCTAGGTAGATATCTGAAAGAATTAAAAACAGGTACTCAAATATTTGTATATATATTCATAGTAATACTATTCCCAATGGGAAAAGATGGAAACAACCCCAAATCCATCAATGAATGAAAAGATAAAGAAATTATGGTGTATACAATACAACAGAGTAATACTCAGCCATGAAAAAGAATGAAGTATTGATTGATACACGCTATAATGGGATGAACCTCAAAAATATTATGCTAAGTGGAAGAAGCCAGACAGAAAATAGTTACATATTGTATGTTTCCATTTACATAAAATATTCAGAATAGGTAAAAATCCAGAGACAGAAAGCACATTGGTGGTTTCCAGGCATATAGGATAGGCATATAGGATAGCGAGAATGTACATAACTGCTTAACAAACACACAGGGTTTTCTTTGGGGTGATAAAAATGTTTTGTTGTATTCTAAAGGCCATGGAATTATTCACTTTCAATGATTAACTTTATGTAATATGAATTCTACCTCAATAAAAAGAAAGCAAAAAAGAGAAATAATAAATGTCAAATGAATAAATATTTAAATGTAAATGTAGTTAAATCATAAAATGCAAGAAGAAAATATGGGAGACCTTTTATTCCTTATAACATTAGGGTATAAGAAAATTTTCTAAGCATGAAAAGAAACTCAGAAACTATAAAGGAAGGAGGCTGGGTGTGTAACTCAGAGGTAGAACACTTGCCTAGTATGCATTAGGCCCTGGGTTTCATCCCTACACACAAGGGGTGTAAAAATAAAGGAGTCTTCTTAAATAACAGAAAAGTCTGATATTACTGGTATCCTGTTTCAAGATGTGCTCTGGATATATTCTTAATTTTAAAAAGCTTTATGGGAAAGGTAATGATATTCTAAATGGAATAATAATTCATTTAGGTCTCACTAGGGGTTTCTTAGAGAGATTAAACCTGAGTGCAAGGATTAAACATCAAACAAATAGCACTTTCACTATTCTCACATTATAGCTGTATATGGACTTGCTGCCCCATATACAGCTATAAAACTCATAAAATAAATGCATCTGCTATTCTTAGACACTGGAAAGGTTGTGCACAGGCTGTGATCTCCCCAGCTTCTGCCTGGAGCCATTCTGTCAGTGTAGAATTGGAGAATCCAAGCAGGGCATGGTGGTCTCACCAAGTTACGAAGACAGAAAAGAAATTGGGAAGGTCAAGAAGACAGGAATTTGTAGGACCAGAGAAACAGAATAGAGGGAGGGAATATGTCGCTAGTCTGCATGTGTGTATGATAAAATTTCAGGATGCCAGGAAACAAACAAAAAATCAAGCAAACTACTAGGGAACTATAAGCAGAAACACTGCACTTGAACCACCAGGGCATTCAGCAGAGACCTAAGAAGAATCATGCCTTTTACATAGTAGAACTAACAAAATTATAGGTTAAGGGCTGTTTTGGATTCACCTAAACAAAGCTCAAAACTGACCTAAAAGTTACTTAACACGCTTTAAAGATATAAAACAAAATCTCAACACAGATATACCATGAACAACATCAGATGAAAAATGACTAGCAATGCAAAAAGCAGGAAAATGTGAATGAAGCCAGGAAAAATTCTGAGCAAAAGAAACAGACTTGGAAATGGGAAAACTTATGAAATTAGGAGGAAATAATTATCAAGCAGTTATTATAAGTATATTCAATAATTTATAAGAAAAATATAAATACAATAAGAAACTAGAAGATATTATAAACACACACACACACACATACACACATCAAATATAAACTCAGATCTATACAAAAGAAGAATGCCAGATGATGGTAAATATATGGATTGCTCTAAAATAATTTTTCTTAATTTTTAACTTTTTTAAAAAGATAACTGACTTTTTTTTTCTTGTGGTTCCAGGCCTCTAAGCTAAACCCCCTGTCTAATAATTGACTCTTTTAAACGAAAACAATAACAATGTATGATAGAATTTGTAACACAAGGAAAAGTGAAAAATAGCACAACAGATGAAAGGGAACAATGGAAGAAAATGTTTTAAGAGTCTTAGATTACAAACAAGATGGTGTAACATTATTTGAAGGTGTACTATGATAAAGATGCATTTTGTAAATCCTAGAGTAACCACTAATCAAATAGAACAAAGAAGTAAAGCTAATAAGCCTCAAACCATTGGTAGAGATCAAATGGAATACTAAAAAACACTTGATTAAGCTGAAAAAATATATGAAAGGAGAATAAAATAGAAAAACACCCAGAACAAATGGAAAAATAGCAAGGTTGTAGGCTTATATTCAATAATATTGATAATTACATTAAATATAAGTGACCTAAACAAGGAGTTGACAAACTATGGCTCATCATCTGTTTTTGTATATAAAGTTTTACTGGAATGCAGTCACACCATTCATTTACATATCATCTATGTCTGCTTTCACATTGGTAGAACTGAAAGTTGTGCCAGAGATTGTATGTCCTGCAAAGCTGAATATATTTGCTATCTGGTTCGTTTAAAAAAATATATATTTATTTTTTGACTGTAGTTGGACACAATACTTTCATTTTATTTATTTAATTTTATGTGGTGCTGAGGATCGAACCCAGGGCCTCGCACATGCTAGGCGAGCGCTCTACCATTGAGCCACAACCGCAGCCTGCTATCTGGTTCTTTACCAAAAAAATTTGACAATCCCTTCTCCTATCTAGGGATTGCTGTTAAAAAATGCTATTAGATACAGTAAGAAATAAATATCAAACTACATGCAGTCTATAAGAAACGTTTTAAATACAGAGGTGCCTAGATGTAAAAAGTGATAGAAAGAAATTTACTGTGCAAACATTGATCAGAAGAGAGCTGAAGTGGCTACATTAGTATTAGAGAGAATGGGCTTTGGGACACTTAATATAAACAGGAATAAAGAGAAAAATTTAATAATGATGATAGAATGTTCAGCATATCAAGAAGATTTAACAGTCTTAAGTGTGTATGCACATACAGCAAAGTTTCAAAATAAATGAGGGAAAATCTTACAAACTAACAGGAAAAATAAACAAATCCACAATTCTTCAATAGGATTTTTTCAGTAACTGCTTAAAATATGAAGGCTGAAAATACATAAGAGTATAGAATACTCCACAAAACTGTTCAATCGATGTAAACTATCTGACTAATTTTATGGAAAACTCAGTAACACCAGAATATATAACCTTCTAAAGTGTGCTGGGACATAAAACAAAATTCAACAAGAACAAAAACACTAAAATCATACAAAGCATATTTTCTGCCTACAATAGAATTAAACTAGAGATCAATAAAAGAAAAGAATCAAGGAAACCCTTAGATATTAGAAATTAAATCATATTTTCTAAAATATGGTTCATAAAATAAATAAGAAAATATTTTAAATTGAGTGATAATGAAAATACAACATCAAAATATATGTGAAGTAGTGGTGTTTAGAGGGAAATTTAAAGTGAAAATGCTGACTTTATAGTAGAAAAAATTAAAAATCAATAATAAAAGTTTCATCTTGAGAAACTAAAAAAAATGAACTGAAAAAATAGAAATGATGAAATAAAGAGTGGAAATTAAAGTAATGGAAAATGGACAAATAACAGAGAAAAGCATTTAAACCATAAGCTTGCTCTTTGAAAACATCAATAAAATGAATAAGCCCCAATTAGAATGATCAAGAAAGATAAAGAAGACTTAAGTTATCAATAAGAGTAATGAAAAGAAGAATGATTGCTATATATCCTATAGACATAAAAAGAATAATAAGGGAATACTGTATACAACCTGATGCCAATAAATTAGAAAAATATTACAGAAACTGAATTTTTGAATTACAACTTCCCACAAAGAAAACTCCAATCCAAATGGCTTTATGTTGAATTCTATCAAAAATCAAGAAAAAATATCAATTTACCCAGATGCTTTCAGAAAATAGAGAAACACTTCTCAACTCCTTCTATAAAGCCACACTTACCATGTTTATACCAACATCAACAACAACATCCCAAGACTAGAGACAAATTTCCCTCATGGATGTAGATCAAATTTTTTTAACAAAATATTAGCAAATAAATTTCAGAATATATTAGGATAACACATCATGAGAAAATAATTTTTATCCAAAAAATACTGGATTCAGCAACTGAAAATCAATCAATGCACTTTAAAAAAATTTTTTGTGTAGTTATAGATGGATATAGCATTCCTTTATTTTATTTGTTTATTTGTATGTGGCGCTAAGGATTGAACCCAGTGCCTCACATGTGCTAGTCAAGCATTCTGCCAGTGAGCTACAGCCTCACCCCTGCCCTTACAACCTTATCAGAGAAAGGAGGAAAATAATAATCATATCAATATATTCAGAAAAATTAAATACCCATTCATGAATAAAATCTTGAAAAAGACCAATAAAGAGCCATAAATCTT